GGTAATTTTCTACAATTTTGTACACACCAATATGCAAGCAACAACAATCAAGGAACAATTTTAAGGGTAATTCAATGCCTGTGCAAAATCAGTAGAGGAAACTTGGGCTCATACAGTAAACGTATCCATTTACAAAAGGCTCCTTTTTCATTCCACATTAATTTCCAATGCGTTACATGATGAATAACGCACAATTATATACGAGACGAGTTGAGATTATCCACCCAGTAAAACCGAGAAGCTGGTTTAATCAGCTGTGAATGCAAAGATTCAAAATCATGATCTCAGCCGTGCTGGTTCAACAGTCAGCCCTAAGGCTTGATACCAAGATCTCAGAGGTACCAGACCAGTGCTCTAACAGGGACTTAATGAACCCCTCACTCCCCTCCCCTGAGACTCTCCACCTCAGGACCTTATCCCATCCCAACATATGTGATGCTGGTTTCCTGCTCTAACAAGACCTTCATATGAACTCATGAAACACACACAGCCCCAGGTCTTTAACTCTGCCGTTGCTCTAGTAGGGTCATTATGAACCACCTGACATTCTACCCAGGAGCTGAACTGTAAACCTCAGCAGTGCTGGCTCTGTCTGTAACAAGGATACTATGGACTTTCTGAGAGACACAAAGCTTTAGGACTTGAACTCTGAACTTCTGGTTCAGGCTCATTATCCGACACCGTCATTCGGACCCCGCTACCAAGCATGATGAGATGTTAGCTACCTCGCCTGGTATATAGGAGTTAGTGGGTTCGATCCGGACCATGACGCCTGCTGTATATTTGGACCTTGCATGTCTCTCTCTCTCTCTCCCCGTGGTCACGTGGATTTATCTCCGCGTCCTCCGCTTTTTCCTTCCACACTTATAAACACGCGTTTCGAGTATTTGGCTGCTATAAATGTCCACGTGATACGCCACGTCGGTGAGCTATCATTCGTGGCCAGGTTGCTTCAGCAAAAAAGAGTTATACAAAGTTCAGTTGCCCTTATAAAAGTGTAGTTTAGTTTATAAAAAAATGCATTAGCATCGCTACAAAATAAACATACACCAGGCTCAACAAACATCAATATAAGCAGCTTATTCGTGCCTTGTTGCGGTCTTCATGTGAATTATCAAACTCAAAAGTCAAAATTCTAGATTTGAAGCTTTCGTGACTGCAAGGATTCATATTCTTAGGTTTTTTCGGTAAAGTCACGTAGGTAAAAATTTTAAATTAATAAAAGTAAAATAAAAATCACGACGTTTCGGAGGCAACACGCTTCCGTCTTCAGGTGGAACAGTCACAGCACGATAGCTGTACCAAGTGATACAGCTATTGATACAGCTATCCTGCTATGACTGTTCCACCTGAAGATGGAAGCTTGTGTTACCTCCGAAACGTCGTGATTTTTATTTTATTTGATTAATTTTAAATTGTTTACCTACGTGACTTTACCGAAAAAACCTAAGAATATCAAAAGTCCAAGTTCCTGTGGCGACCGCGACCAATGACAGAGGCACACGCGGGGCCCTCTCCACCTCCACGTCACCATCAGCTGTGCTGCGTCCGCCTTCACACAACTGCGTGCGTGTCTCTCTTAAACTTATATACACACAGGAGCACACACAAATGTTGAGATAAACAACTCCCCTCTCTTTTTTTTTATGATCAGTGGAAACAAGAAGATGCTCGGTGTATTCGGCACTTTGTTTCGTTCATCATTTCGTAATTTTTTTTTCTCTCTCTCTTGAGTAGCTCGTTACACACTTGGATGTTTGTTTGAATGCGTTTTTGTCCAGCAGTGGATCGATCACGGCTTAATGATGTCAACCTGTTACAGCTACCGGCGTGTTGTGTGTGTGTGTGGCTTCGGTCCATCACACCAGTCGATGGTGAATGAAGAAAACTGGAAACGCACGTCTGTAACACGTGTGTTGCCACGCTTGTCAATCCACTGCTGGATGAAGGCCTCGGCCACGTAGTGCGAGTCGTGGGGGTGGGTAACTTCACCACGCTGGTCAGTGCGGATTGAATGAACTACCAAATTTAGTTTGAACTTTAAACTTAAGTTTAACTTAGTTTAAACTTGGGTGATTAGCGGCCTTTGCTCGTGTAAATCACAACTACATTTAAAGCCCGAATTGACGATTACTTCCAAACCGGCTCGTGTCGGATATCCCACGACAGACAAAGCGAAGGGGGTTTGATAAACCGCGTTTGTTTTCTGGCGCTGGCCTTCCACTTCGCTTTGTTATTACAAAAACACCTCGCTCCATAGCCCTACCCCATGCCCGAGACAGATAGCGGTGATCTCTTTCTACCATATCATCATCATCCTCAAAGCAACACATCCTCCGTAACAGGAGTGGTTTACATCTCTGCCTCTATCGCGAGAGACGATATCTTCTACCTTGCACCAGAAGGGCACGTTGGCCGAAACGTCGGCTTGAGTTAAGCGCATGGCGTGTGTTGTTGTTGTTGCATCGCTGGCGACGCATTGCGAGAGAAAGGGCGGCCGTGTGTGTGTCCGTGTTCGTGGTGTCACGGCGGCCGTGTGTGTGTCCGTGTTCGTGGTGTCAGGGCGGCCTCGTCCCCACCAACCCCCTTTGGTTGCTCACCGCCTTGAGCAGCAGCAGCAGGAGCCCAGGCCGCAACGCCGCCATGTCTGCCGCTCTCCCTCTCACCCCTCTCTCTCTCTTAGCTCTCCCTCACCCTCTCTCCCTCTCTCTCTTAGCTCTCCCCCACCCTCTCTCTCCCCCTCTCTTAGCTCTCCCTCCCACCCTCTCTCACCCCCTCTCTCTTAGCTCTCCCCCACCCTCTCTCCCTCCCACCCTCTCTTCCTCCGCCCTCTCTCTCTTAGCTCTCCCCCACTCTCCCCCCCTCTCCCTCCCCCTCTCCCTTCCCTCTCTCCCCGTGCTGCGAGGCCCCCCCCCCCCCAGCCGGCTTCTCTCTCCCCAACTGCGCACGCGCGAGGACGGCCTCCCCAATTGGTCAGCTCGCCAAGAGCTCGGCCAATCACGTCGCGACGTGAGGATTTTCAACGTAGGTGTCCAAAGCGGTCCCAGAGTCTAATGCCTGACGTAATGTGTCGTATAATAAAAAAATTGCATCATTGGGAGGATGAGATTAACACATTAGAACAAGTATTTGTGTGTGTGTGTCAATTAGACAATAATGCTGGTAACGTTTTTGGTAAAAGGCAATGAATGGAAAATTAAGGGAATGGGCCGACTGGCGTCAGTAGTAGGCAGCCTCTGAACATACTCTTAGGTTTTTTCGGTAAAGTCACGTAGGTGAAAATAAATAATAGAAAAAATAATAAGAAATAATAAGAAATAATAAGTATTTTATTCCTATTATTAAAATAATAGAAATAATAATAGAAATAAAATAATTATTTTTTATTATTTTTTCTATTATTATTTTTTATTATTTTAAAGAAAAAAATTAATATGCATTTATTATTTATCATTTATATTATTTTTATTATTTATTTTCACCTAGGTGAAACGAAAGCTTCAAATCTAGCTTCCAATCTAGCCTCTGACCAGTTTCGTGAGCGAAACTTCATTATCTTTGGGAAGACTCAACCAGGGTTTTAATCACGCAACACAAAACGATGAAGTTAAAGCCAAAACGTTGCTTTATTTGATTTAGTCAGCATCAGCTGATGAGTGTCAACGTCTTCCGGAAGTTTTATATTCTGAAAGTTGTCTACCGATTGTTTTATTTGGCGTCCACAAAAAGTGATACTCTACACAATGGAAACGTCAGCCTCTGGATCTTCCGGAAGATTCTTTCGCAGACAGATGCTGCCACTCGCTCCGTTGGAGTTAGTGCCGTAATAACACCAGCGATTGTCATCATTATTATTAATCACGCGTTTACGAGTTGTGTTTTTTCTTACGATCGAAACAAAATAAATGTGGACAGGCGGCGACGAGTACGCTCGCTTACATAATTTTTTGTACATATACGAGGACAAAAATATTTAAACATCTTCTTGGTTCTTTCGGTAAAGCGTGGTGTTGTTTCATTCAGACGCTGTCTCCCCGACAGACCTGGTCTTCACCTGAGGACGGCTGCTTGTGTTGTGGCCGAAACGTCGTGAGAATTATTTTATTACGTCTTATTTTTATTATTTCATTACTTCCCTTCTACGTGACTTTACCGAAAGAACCAAGAAGATATGTAAACATGTTTCACTATTACATTTAATAGATTGAAAAACGTAACCACGCCCATTTCACCAACCAAGCTGGTTCGCCCCGCCCCCTTACCCCGCCCTTCTCCCTCTTGCCCCGCCCCCGTACCCCAAAATCACCCAATCCCGACCCCCCCCCTCTATTAACTCCCCCCACCCAAACACAGCCGTCTGCCTCTCTCACCTAACCCCCCCCACACAAACCCCGCCCCTCCCCCCTTTTTACTCTCGACCCCCCCCTCCTCTCCACTCACCCCGCCCCCACTCAGCCACCCCCCCTCTCAACGATCCCTCTCACAACCCAAACCCCGCCCCTCTCACTGACCCCTGTCGCCCCCTCCCCCCGTTAGCCCCTCCTCCTCCCTGCTCATCCCCCCCCCCCGTGAAAGCGGCGCGTGCCGCCGTGCGACTGGGAAGGCGCGAGAGGGGTGGGGGGAGAGGGAGGGCGAGAGGGTGGGGGGAGAGGGAGGGCGAGAGGGGGAGGGGTAGAGAGCGTGAGGGAGGGGGGGAGAGGGGGGTGGGGAGGGGGGAGAGGGAGGGGGGGGAGAGGGGGGTGGGGAGGGGGGAGAGGGAGTGGGGAGGGGAGTTGGGAGAGGGGGGGGGATGGGGAGTGGGGAGAGGGAGGGGGGTGGGGAGGAGGAGAGGGTGGGGGGAGAGGGAGGGCGAGAGGGGGAGGGGTAGAGAGAGAGGGTTGGAGGGGGTAGCGAGAGGGGGAGGGAAAGCGGGTGGGAGGAGAGAGGGAGGGCGAGGGGAGGGGTAGAGCGTGAGGGAGGGGGGAGGGGGTAGAGAGGGGGGGCGCGCGCGGGACCCAGGGTGTAGTACACGTGCTCGCGCTCGCGCGCAACACACAACACGCAGATCACGCACGGCACCCACACATCACCCACAAGCACGTGTTCCTCCCTCCTTGCCTGCACACACAGACACACACACAGAGAGCACGACACGCTCGCTCGTGTCGTGTGTGTAGTGTGTGGTGTGTGAGCAACACAACGCGGCGTTGTGCGCTCGGCCCGCGTGAGTTTGCCCTGAACGGCGCACACGCGCCACCCGCTCGGGCCGTCTTCTTCGTCTTCTTCGTCTTCCTCCTCCTCTCCGTGTGTGGTGTGTGTCCCGCTCCCGTGTTGGTACGTGCTCGCACGCGGGCATGACAAGGCGGAGTTGATGGGCTTAGCGCGAAGCATGCCGTCCAAGCTGCAGTTCCTTGCGGCGCTCGGCTTGGTGCTCGCCATGGTGTACCTCGAGAACCAGATCCAGCGCCTGGAAGAGTCCAAGGGCAAGCTGGGTACGTGTCCCTGTGTGTGTGTCCCTGTGTGTGTGTGTCCCCGTGTGTGTGTCACCCCGTGTGTGTGTCCCCGTGTGTGTGTGTGTCCCCGTGTGTGTGTCACCCCGTGTGTGTGTCCCCGTGTGTGTGTGTGTCCCCGTGTGTGTGTCACCCCGTGTGTGTGTCCCCGTGTGTCCCCCCCCCTCTCTACGCCGCCTGACACGATGCTTGTGATGCGTGTGTCTGTGAGAGCGATTTCACTACGGTATGTGTTGTATCCTGTACTGTATGACGGAACTACGGTGTGTTGTGTGTGTTTATACTGCACTGTATGTGCACACTGCGCATTGTGTGTGCGCCGTGCAGTGTGTACACTGCACTGTATGCAAGAGCACGAGTGTGTGTCCATTGTGTGTTAGAGAGCACTACTGTGCCTGTGTGTGTACACTGCTACAGCACGACAAATGTGCACACTGCACTGTGTTATGGCACTACATTGTGTGTGTACACGACACTCTGTGTACGTTAGAACAATAGAGTGTGTACATTGTGTGTTAGAGAGCACGACTGTGCCTGTGTGTACACTGCTACAGCACTACAAATGTGCACACTGCACTGTGTTATGGCACTACATTGTGTGTGTACACGACACTGTGTACGTTAGAACACTAGAGTGTGTCCATTGTGTGTTAAGAGAGCACTACTGTGCCTGTGTGTACACTGCTACAGCACGACAAATGTGCACACTGCACTGTGTTATGGCACTACATTGTGTGTGTACACGACACTCTGTGTACGTTAGAACACTAGAGTGTGTACATTGTGTGTTGGAGAGCACTCCAGTGTCTCTGTGTACACTGCTACAGCACTACATTGTGTACACGATATTCTATGTACGTTAGAGCTCTCTAATGCGTTGTGTGTACTGCACTTTGTGTGTGTGCAGTGTTTATACACCGTCATGTGAGTGCGTGTACACTGGCTGTACACTAAGCAATTGATTTGTGTGTATACTGCAACTGTGTGAAATACACAATGCATTGTGTGTATTGTATATGTACTGTACTTGTGTGTGTGTGTGTGTATATATCGTGTGTGCGCATAGACACAATTGTGCAGTGATTGTGTATACACCACATGTGTGTGTCTTAGTATGTATGCATGCCCCGTGTGATCTATGTTTGTGCTCTGTATATAATATATACATTGTGCTGTCAGTGTACATTGTGTGAGTGGAGGCGTTGTAAATATGCTGTGAATGCATTGCCAGCATGTGTACTGTGTATACAATGCAGTGAAAGTCTACTGTGTATACACTGGGCTGAGAGTGTTGTGTGTTTTATAGTGCTTGTGTGTACAATGTGTACCATGTGTGTGTACTACATGTACACAGCTCTGAGAATATACACACGGTGCAGTGTTTGTACACTGTAACATAAACTGTAGCGTGTATTCATTGTGCTGTAGGTATGCATTGTATGTGTACTGTCTATATATATAAGGTGCTTTAGAATTGTATTGTCTGTTGTGAGTGTGTACATTGTGTGTGTGTGTGTGTGCACCTGGGTCCGTCTCGTAACGTGCCAGCATCGAGCCCTTTGCTGCTTCACGGTGGCCTCGAGGTGCACCTAGCCTGGCACAAGCTCAGTGGTGATGTCACCGCCACTTAGTGTCGAACGCCGGTCGTTGTTGTTGTTGTTGCTTCTGCCTGTGACTGCGTGTGTCCAACATACACAGTTCGTACAACATACACAGTATGCCGATGGCATTCTCAGTGTGTGCATTCTCTCACCGGTTTGATTCTCACGGCATCTGTTTAAGAGTAATTATCTAAACCCTCAAATTTCACTATTGACGACGTGGGATCACCTGAGCACGGCATCTGCTGTGTGGTTGGGCGTCGTCGTCATTGTATTCTGGTGGTGGCTGGCCATTTCTGTGTCGCTGGATTGCTGAGACAACGGTGGCGAGATGTTGGCTACATCCCACTGGAGGAGGTCGTGGGTTTGATCCCGATCCTGACGGCTTAGAAATTTGGAGTTTGTGTGTGTCTCTCTCTCCACCGTGGTCGCGTGGATTTTTCTCCGGGTCCTCCGGTTTTTCCCCCCTCCACATTTAGAAAGAACGTGCGTTTAGATGATTTGGTTGGTTTACATTTCCACACAATGAGCCACTTCGTTGGGTTATCATTTGTGGCCAGGTGGCTTCTGAAAAAAAGAGCTATAATAACTCGATTGGCCTTACCTGGTAAAATAAAAAAAAAGTTAAAATCACAAAATTGAAAAATGACACCAGAGGATGGTGCAAGTTGTGGTGACACGTATGAAACAGTATTTACAGCCATTCCTTGCAATACAAGTAACCACCCCAAATGGTTAAATATAGGACACGCAAACAACTTTCGCTTTCATGTGTGCACTGAAACGAACCATAACCAAGCTCAAAAAAAGTCTGAACCTTGACCTTAGCCCAAAACTATAACCCACCTGAGCCTCTTAATGAGACACAAGCAGGATAAGCCAACTTGAGGTTTTTGAGTAATCCCCTATAGGCCATATGAGCTACTTATTATTTGCACTGTATTTTATCTCGACAAGACACTTATGTTTATGAAAAGCGTGTCTTATTTTGTTATATAACAGATGTTTTAGTAACAGCTGTGCTTGTGTTGAATGTAGGATTTTGTGAGTGATAGAGCCAAATAATTTAGATTATTAAATCTTTAAAATAGCACGTGCTGGTGATTTTATATGGCACTGATGTGTATTGAAAAAGAGATGTTGATTAAAACATTGCCTTCAATTCTCATTGCTGCCACTGATTTCAAATGATTACGTTTGACCTATTTTCAAAATCATCCCAAAGCAGAAGTTACAGCAAATAATGAAAGCAGCGTTTGCCATCCTAAGTGGCCTCCAGTATTGCTTTTTTGGTCTATATTGCCCCAGGTTTTTCTTTTCAAGATTTCTTTCTCATCGAAGCCTCGTAGCGTGGGTTTTAGGTCCCTCGGCTCCTGGAGCCAAGCTAAGGCACTTAGACAAGATGAAACCGAAGAGAAGATGAGACGGCACACGCCACGTTTCTGTTTGCAATTGCAGCCAATTAAGCTGTCCTTCTTGTTCCGTTTTGACAGCGTCACGGTGCCACACTTTGCAACTGCCCCTTAATGCTTTCTTTGAACTGCACAAGTGTTCAGTACTGCAGCCTCTAACCCAGAATAAGTGAAGGCTTTGCCCCCCCCCCCTCCATAGTGCAGAGCAGCTGGAAAATCAAGGACAGATGTGCTAGTGTCCTATCTTGCACAAAGGAGGACTTCTTTTGAACCATCATGTGCTACTGTCATTATCATTTACCCCCAGTGAGAGTCAGCAGAACGCAGTACAGTGGTCCCATTATTTGTAGCACCAGCAGGGAGAAAGAAAGTGGGGTTTATTCACCAGAATTCAAATATTTTTCTACGGCTTTGTGATTCGTGCAAGGTCTTGTTCGGCATCATTATCAACGTCCAGTTGCCCTAAGTGAATAATGTTGGGGGTCATCTCCATGAGAGGGTCATTCTAGCTGACATCAGTCCCTTTTCCGGATCTCCCCGGTTGTTTGTGATATATTTTTATCGTCTTCCATTGTTTTCGCTTGGTTGGGGCACGAATTCACAAATTAATCACTTTAAAATAAGCTTAATGGCTGTATCGGCGATGCAAGTGTTGGTTATCACAGGGTTTCACGATAACCAAAGGCAACTAAGCCTATTGTTGTCTTCTCTGAACACTTTGAAGTTGTGGCAGAGGTGGCCCACACTGATTTCAACTGCAGCGGGGACCATAGAACAACAAAAAGCAAAGTTACCGTAAGACGGAAGCCTAAAAAGTGTCAGTAAGACTACTCTTGAAAAGGAGTGTGTGTGTGTACTCACTGGCTTGAGAGGCATACGACTGTTCAATTTTTCAATACCAGTCTCTGAGAATAAAGCCGCTTCTGTTATGCGTGTTGCTGTTGGTGTAACATATGACTCGCCGGAGATGTTTCTCCATTTGACATTTTCTTTTTTGAAGGTAAATTGCGTTTTGCGAACAAAAAAAATTCAAATCCAGAGCTCCCTTCTAACACGTGGCCCCCTGTGAGTTCTTTCCTTTCATATGTAGATGCCTCGATTTTGCCAGCATCATTATTTTAGTAAGATGCAGCGGACAGGCGGGCAATCATGGCTGGCACACACCCCCCACCCACCCCCTTGTGTCGTGCAGCAAAGGAAAGGAACGTGTTTGCTTTTCGCACTTTAAGTGAGTTCCGTATCCTGGGGTGGGGGGGGCTGGTGACAAGTTGGCTGATGGTGGTGAGGATGTGGTGGGGTGGAAGGGGGGGGGGGGGCCCTTCACTAATGCGCACCTGCTCACTCTGAGTCGTGCCAACAGCTGCACGTTTTTAAATGGCAAGCACGCGGGCTCGGCTCGGCGCTTGATAAAGCTGCAGTGCCGAAACTGTGGCCGGCCCTGGCATTTCGAGCCCGAGCCGTTCCAAGTGAAACTCCGCAGCGGATGGGGATGCGCTTAAGAATTATCCGTGCAAAGTTTCGGGCAAGTGATATACGTCAGGTTTTCCCCCCAAAAATAAAGAAGTACAATTATGCGCACATTACTTAGTGCAACAGGTCTCCAAATGGTGGCCTTTAAAACGACGATTAAACGTAGCTGAAGCTGAATGGGTGTTTTTTTCTCGCGTTTGTTAGGCGGAAATGGGAGTATCTTGGGGAAACATAAAAGTTAAGTGTTATCAAGGCTTTCTAAGACGCCTGCTTTTGTCAAACGTTTACAAAGCAAAATGTGGCTTCCCTTTAAGGTTTATCCAACAGAAACCTGTTCACACAGGAGCACCGGGGGTCCGTGCTCCTCTTCCGCGATGGCAGCCCTGGGGTTTGTTTTCACCTCTATGCATGGCAGTCGTCACGTCGAGGGCCCAGATTCATCTCCATAGGCCTCGAGTCTTTGACAGCGAAACGGCCTCGAGTTGGTTCGGGGATCAGT